ACACAAAATTGTTAAGATGCAGGCTTCATCGTAGAGGATGTAGCATCTGGAGAGGTCATTTCCAGTGAGGTCCAGAAGGGGCTTGAAGGCCAGGGAGAAAGTTTGCGTTTGCCTCCATAGACTGGAGAGAGTGAGTAGAGTGCCGGTTGGGGGAGACAGGTGGTACCAGTGAAGGACAGATGGGAAGTGCTGATGCCAAATGTGGTGGCGCGGACCTAGTGCTTATCCCCCGCAGGCACTCGTTTTCAGACTTGAAATTCTCAGAGCAACCTCCCTTTAGCTGAGAAAATTATCTTCATTAATACTATATTCTTCCACATTTTGCTTTTCCTCAAACCCATTTGCTTCCTTACTCCTTTTTTTTTATAATATATTCTTAGTTAAAGATTAATTGAAACTAACCCATTTGCCTCAAATGGAATTTGGACACAGCAATCCCATAAATGTTGAGAAAATAGAACGGATACAGCATGATTGCTTTTAAAAAAATATATACATTATATGCTATAATTCTGAAAATAGCAGTGTGGAACTTCAAAGGAGCCGGAGAAACCATGTGCCTCATGGTTGAATAAGTAGAGTAAGTACAAGGTTGTAAAGGCTGATTGTTCGAGAACAGGGCTAACAAGGGTCAAAAATCTTCACTGAAGTCTCACAAAAGGGGGCTCCAACACCCGTCGCTAGGTTACCCACAAGAATTTTACCATTTCTGTGGCCAAAAAAAGTTTATGTGCCTGGTCTGTACATTATACCTTCTGGTGGCGGGCCGGTGTGCTGGGGCCCTTCCTGGGGCACAGCAGGAAGCGGAAGTTGGCTGCCAACCCGGAGTCCCCAGGCTGAAACCTGGCCAGGTGCCTGAAGCTACCTGTCGGGACACTGGCTATTTTTGGTTTCGGTCACTTTGCCCAAAAGATAAGGAATTTCAGGAATTCTGCCGAACACCTCTGAAATAGAATCTGAAACAATGGGCCTTTCATGGAACTCTAAACGCTTGGCAATCACAGTGTTATTTTAACTTGTTTTCTGTGCAAAGTGTGGATGCACTTAGCTCCCGTGGAAATCTGGACTGGGGTGGGCGTCGGGGGAGGGACTCTCGGAAACCATCGATACAAAGGCTGCTCATAGCACGTTGTGCCCTGACATTTATTTAGAAAGTGATTAGTTTTAAATGTTTTGTTGTTAGTTCTCACTTTTATCTCTGTTTTCACTTATCTGGGGGCATTCTTGGACTTTGCTTCTCAAGGGCTGCCAGGCCTTCCTGGGGCCTGGGGAGGGACAGTCGGATTTTTATGCCTGTTTTAATCAGTGCTTCCTCAAGCCCCCCTAGGTGGATGTTTGTAAGAGTGAAGGACACACGCGAAAATGTCTTGGAAAACAAAGGTTGATAGAACTACAGGCCATTTTGATCATTGATTTGGGGTTCTTTTTGGTGGTAAAAATAACCGTTGTTTAAAAGTGAAATTAGCAGTGTTATAAGTGGGAAAATGTCACACTGCGATTATTTGATTATTTGATTTTTTTGTTTGTTTCTGTGGCTTAAGTACTTAGGGTTTTCAAGGACTAGATGTTTTGCTTTTCTTCATATAAGAGTAAGGAGTGAGAAAGAAATATGCCCTAAGCTGATCTGGAAGGAAGGGAAGTTCAAAATTAATCTTTTAAGCAATCTGCAAAATGAAATACTGGGTCCTTTTGCTCCCTTCCTGCAACTGGCAGCGTTCTCAGTTTTGCGGAAGGCTGGGGAAGCCGTCTGCCCATGGGGTCTGGAACCTGGCTCTGAGTTGTAGCCACGCGCTTTGGATCACATATCCAGACTGTAAGCTGGAGATGACGATCCCCACCTCACAGAACTGTGTGAGGGTGAAATGCGATGTCCAGCGTGTGAAACGACTACCGTAGAAGAGGACCGGTAAGTGGGAGGCAGTGTTCTCCGTGTAGGCACTGGTGGCAATTATCACTATTGTCCATGCTTCCATGGAGCAGTCAATGTAGAGGGACACAGGGGAAACCTGTAAAGTGCAGCTCCTAGGATTAGGTAGTTTCGTATATGATTTAGGGCAATAAGTCTTATACAAAAAAATAACGGACAAAACAACGTAATACGTGGGTGATGACTGACCGGGAAGACGAAATAGTCACTATTTTGTAGGCTGCCCCACAAGGTTTTCCCAAGGCAGCCGGGCCTTGAGAATAGGTACAGTATAGATGCACAGAAAGCATAAGAGGCTGTTCCAAACGGAAGTGAGTCTCCCCACCAGCCCCCCTCCATCCTTCTCTTTATAGTATAGTGTTGAGATTATAAGCAGGAGAAACAGTAGAATTTTGGCCTTGCTGCTTCCCAACTGTGTGGCCATGGGCAGGCACATAAACCGTCTTAAAGCTGAACTGCCATCTACGTAACGGATGTGAAAGTAGAGCGGGGGGCCTTGCTCTCTAAATCCCACAGTTTGAACGTCAGGTGGGGAAAGAAATGTTACAACACAGCAGTAATCATTCAGTATTGGCAACCTGTGCCAGTCCCCACTCAAACACCTCTTCCTGTTGAAATCTAGTGTTGGCTCTCTCCAGTTGCATTAACTCTTCGACTTTTATGACCATTTAATAGTATAAATATTTGACGATATGATGCAAACACAATACGAATCCATTGCAGAGTGAAATTTCAAGTCTTGGGAAAGATAAGAGGATTCCCTGAAGTCCATGAAAGTGATTTGGAAAGATGTATTACTAATAACACTTTTAAACGTATTGATAAAGGGGGTGTGTGCGTGTACGTGTGTGCGCGTGCGTGTGTGCCCGGCACAAAACACTCTTTCAAACACTGTTATATATTCATCTCTTGCTCCCTACAACCTCGCTATCATGATTCCTGCGACAGGCAAAGAAACAGAAGCGGGGAATCTGAACCAAGCAGTGTGGCCAAGCAGTGCACGTCCTTCCTCACCACCCTGCAGTCCCTCCACGGGGATCAGGTGGTGATCTTGCAACGATAGGAAATCAGAAAGAACAGAACAGGCACCTGAATGGAGAGATATTTCCAACAGATACAGAAAGCTCTCCTGAGAACCTGATAAAAGCCACCCTCCAAGCAATGCCACCGTGGTTAGGAGTGTGTGTCTCTGGGGTCAGACTGCTTCAAGAGCATCGCTGCTCCTCAGCCGTGACCTTGGACGCTTGCGCAACACCTGTGTCTCGGCTCCCTTATCTGTGAAGCACAGAATAGTAAATAGTAAATACCTATTGTACTGCGGTGTGGATTTCATGATTGAAATAGCTGTTAAGTGCATTTGACACACAGAATGAATGTACTTGGTAAATGCTCGTTATTCTTATAACTAACATCTGGGAAAATGGTCCTTTTTAGGATCATGTTCCAAAAATCAAAAAAGGAGAATGTCTTATGCCTTGCTTCAGTTTTGTTTGGATAATTTATTCTAAAGGACATCCCCTGTGTGTTTTGTTTTTATCCTTCCAAGAGTTAGCACATGGTTACAACAATGATGTAAACATCCTTTCTTTAAAAAACCAAATGATGAAAAAGACTTATTTTCATTTTATTTTTTAAGATAAAACCTGAATAACAATACTCCGTTTGCCTTGTTTACAATGAAATTTGGATTACTGTTTCAGTGGATTCATTCTGTGGCTTTATTTTTTTGGTACTGATTGTCTTCAGATAATGAAGGCCCATCCCTTGGGATTTTTATGACGATTGAATGAAATCATGGATGTGTGCAAGGCATACAGGAAAACTCTGCATTTGTTAGCAACTCTCTTACTATATTTGTTGTCATTTGTATTAGGTGGGACTAGCATGAGCACAGGGCAAGTATAAGAATGTGTGTGTTGGGCGCCTGGGTGGCTCAGTGGGTCAAAGCCTCTACTTTCCGCTCACGTCCTGATCCCAGGGTCCTGGGATCGAACCCCACACCAGGCTCTCTGCTTTCCAGGGAGCCTGTTTCCCCCTCTCTCTCTGCCTGCCTCTCTGCCTACTTGTGATCTCTCTCTGTCAAATAAGTAAAATCTTAAAAAAAAAAAAAAAATGTGCATGTTGTGTTTGTTTGAGAGCCTTCAGCTCCTGCTCTGAATAAGATGAGACACGGAGTGGACAGGTGACTACGAATGAGAATTGAACATGTCTGTCCCCATCGTCCTCCCATCCATACCAGCTTCCTCTCTCTCTCTCTCTTTCATACACTCACTCTCTCAGAGCTAACTGTCTGGTGGAGAAGTCAGAGGTGACTTTGGCGGGGATTGTGGTGGGAGTTCTGCTACCAGAAGTGGCTCTCGAGGGATCTGTATTTTGTCAGGAGGCTGGGGGGTGAGGAAAACTACTGTCCGGATGACATTTCTCTAAAGTTTCTGCTTCCTGCTATATTTTGAGCTTTAGTAAAGCAATCCTAGCTCATAAAACACTTTATGAGTTAAAAATCTCTAAGCATTTTGCAAGTTTACTCTAAGATCCTATTTAATAATAATTTATGGTGTCGAGTCACCTGCCTGTGATACTCTTGAATACCTTCGGTAGAAAAAGCTCACACACAGCTAACAAGAACTGATGATGTACTATATGCCAGCTAACTGAACGTAATAAAAAAAGAAAATGAAAGGGCTCTGCATTTAAATCAGGACCTAACTTATAGGAAGAAAACAATGTATTCTTACCAGGGAAACTCTCACAGACTTCTGACCCCATCCGTGATGCCTCAGTAATGTTTCTTGCCCCTAGAAATCATTTACTTTCTCTCAAGAGAAGCATTCATAGAGTGCTAAGCAATGTTGATTTTTTTTTTTTTTTTAAACTTGTAACTGCAGGCACCAGTGACCCAGTAAAGATTATGGCACAGATAATGTAAGGCAAGATGGCAGAACACAAGCCCATTCTCATTTACGCTGCTGACTGAGCTGAAGGTTGTGCCTTCGATATCAAGGAAACAGTGTGACCAGAAAATTTTAACAATATGAAAATAGCCCACCTTTGATTTTTTTTTTTTTTTTTTTAGTTTTGCTGCTTGAGAAGATAGAGCACGATGATTTCTGCAATAAAACGTTGAAGATTACAGATTTTGGGCTGGCGAGAGAATGGCACAGGACGACCAAGATGAGTGCAGCGGGCACCTATGCCTGGATGGCACCGGAAGTCATCAAGTCTTCCCTGTTTTCTAAGGGAAGTGACATCTGGAGGTAAGCACCCCACTTTTCGCTCTTGTAGACGGCTGCAGGAACTGGTTGCCGCACTCCCTGTAGATGAGTCCCAGAGTTTTCAGGAATCGAGCGGAACAGAGAATACAGGCTTTTTCTTCTGTACGTTCATTGGAGAGATCTTCTCTCAAAATCTGTTTCTTTCTTTTTTTTTAATGGTGATTGCATATCAATAAATATTTTTTATTATTTATTCATTTATTTTGATTTCAGGAGTAGAATTGAGGGATTCATCACTTACCCGTAACACCCAGTGCTCATCACAAGTGCCCTCCTTAATGCCCATCACCCATCAAGCCCCTCCCCCACCCACCTCCCTCTGTCAACCCTCAGTTTGTCTTCTATCCTCAAGAGTCTCTTATGGTGCCTGGGTGGCTCAGTCGTTAAGGGTCTGCCCTTGCCTCTGGTCACGATCCTAGGGTCCTGGGATCAAGCCCCACATCGGGCTTCCGGCTTAGTGGGAAACCTGCTTTTCCCTTTCTCTCTGCCTCTCCCCTGGCTTGTAGTCTCTCACTCACTTTCTCTCTCTCTCTGTGTCAAATAAATAAATAAAACCTTTTTTTTTTTTTAAAGGGATCTCTTATGGTTTGCTTCCCCCCTCTCTCATTTTTTTCTTTTTCCCATATCTTCATCTGTTTTTTTTCCTAAATTCTACATATGACTGAAATCATATGGCATTTTTCTTTCTCTGACTTATTTCGCTTAGCATAGCTCCATCCACCTCATTGCAAAGGGCAAGATTTCATTTTTTGAAGGCTGAGTAATATTGCATTGTATACATACACCGCATCTTTATCCATTCATCAGCTGATGGGCACTTGGGCTCTTTCCACAGCTTGGCTTCGTTGATAATGCGGCTGTAAACATTGGGGTACATGTACCCCTTTGAATCTGTATTTTTGTATCCTTTGGGGAAATACCCAGTAGTACAATTGCTGGATCATAGGATAGTTATATTTTTAACTTTTTAAGGAACCTCCATACTGTTTTTCAGAGTGGCTGCACCAGCTTGCATTCCCACCAGCGGTGTAAGAGTTTCCCCTTTTTCCACAACCTCGCCAATACCTGTTGTTTCCTGTGTTAGTAATTTTCTCCCTTCTGACAGGTGTGAGGTGGTATCTCATCGTGATTTTTGATCTGTATTTCCCTGATGATGAATGATGTTGGCCATCTTTTCATGGGTCTGTTGGCCCTCTGGATGTCTTCTTTGGAAAAATGACTATTCATCTCTTCTGTCCATTTCATTTCTTAATTGGATTTTTGGGGGGGGGCGTTGAGTTTGATAAGTTCTTTATAGTTTTGGACGTTAACCCTTTATCAGATTTGTCATTTGCAAGTATCTCCTCCCATTCCGTAGGCTGCCCTTTAGTTTCATTGATTATTCCCAAATCTGTTTATTTCTGTTTTACAAGTTCAGTTGTCCGATTTTCAGTAAAAGCAGCTAATTGGAAGAGGGGAGAGGGTTGCTAAGTTGGTAAAAGTTGGCAGCTGAAAACAAAATAGGTGTTAGGAAGAAAAAAAAGCATGAAATTCCGTGGAAAGGAGTAGAAACTACTGACGTCTAGAGCCACCTGGTTGTGGAGCCAAGCATCCCCACCCACCTGGAGAATGCATTAATCCAGTAAAGCACATTGGAGCCCTGGGGTGTCAGGATGCAAAGGGTGGGAAGTCTCCCCCTCCCCCCCCTTCTGAATTACACACTTCTTTGCTTTAGAATCTCCTGTTATAACATTCACATAAAAACGATTTCATTCAAGAAAGGTTACGATTCTCTGCGCAGCGGACTGGTGGACTAGCATACGGACTAGAACGTTAACTAGCGTGTTCACTGATCGTTTCTCGCCCTTCTTCCTCCTTCATGGTTACTACAGCACAAAGTAACAGAGCTGTCACTGAATTTTCACAGTATCTCCTGAGATGACTGCACTTCCGCAGAGCAGGTAACCAAGGCACAGGGACATTAGGACCTTTCCTCGGGGTTATAAAGCTAGTCAGTAGCTATACTCAGCATCCCAGGCCTGGGAGCCAGGTTCCTGCAAGCACAGCCCTTCCGTAGTCGCAAGCTGTCTGAGTTCTTCGGAGACAGCCTTATTTATATTGTATCCTGCCCAGGTTCGGAGAAAATGCATTACATTCTGCAAATAGTCCCATCAAAATAGTTCTATTTTTTCCATGTTGTTTTTTTTCTCCATATGAGTTTTTAACGTAAGCCCTCTGCTCTCTAGAAACATGACCTGTTTTGAGTTATTCGTTTGCTGAAACTCCCAAGAAACAAAGTTATGCTGTTGTTATTATTTTAGTTTTGTTATGTGCTAATGAGAAGAGCAAGGAAGTGGCTTTGAATTTAGACAGTTTTCAGTTATCTGCAGGAGTTTTATATCTCCTGCTCTGAGGTGATTTTTGTTAATTGATCTATGAGTTACATTTACTTATTCTCGCAATTAAAGTGTCTCTGCTAAGGCACCATAATGTAGATAACTTTTAAGAACCTAAACTGGTAATTACCTTTGGAAAATACTGGTTTCAACTTAATTGTTAATAGTTATAGCGTTATATAATTTAAAAGCACCGTATTATATATTCTCTCTTTTTTCAATGTAACACAGTGCTTTGAGATGGTAGAGTAGACATCGCTATTACTGAATAGATCACCTACTTCACAATCAGCTGTTAAGGCCTTTGTGAGTGGAAACGTAGCTAGTAAGTAGTGATCCTTCCCTTCCCTCCCCTCCTCTTTTCTCCTTTCTTTTCCTTTCCTCTCCTTTCCTTTGCAAGATTTATTTACTTGAGACGGTATGTGAGCATGGGGTAGGGAGGAACAGAGGCAGAGGGAGAGAGAAACTCAAGCAAACTCTGTGCTGAGTCTAGAGCCTGACATGGGACTCGAACTCATGACCCTGAAATAATGACCTGAGCCGAAACCAAGGTCAAGTCTTGAGCTTCCAGATCCAGCTGTCTTTTGGCTGTCTTACCAGGTGCCCTGTTACTCCACCTGCTCAGGGAAGGAGCTGGACTGAGGGCCCTCGGGACTCATACACCTTCACTCAGAGCTGGTAGAACATCATCGGGAGGATCCCCAGACCCCACTGACTGGGCACATTATGTCATTTCTACATTTTTATTCTGAACGTCTTCAGTAGATAGTCTAGATTCCCACTGGCTCTAATGGCGAGGTCTTTAAATGAGAGGCTGTCACATCTGGGGTGGCCTGAACCTGGAGTCTGGAGAGCTTCCAGCTCTTTCCAGACCAGGTCTTGCAGAGACAGCTTGTCCTATTATAGCCGAGATGCTCCGAGTATCCACATCCCTTTAGATCAGGAGGTAATCAAAGGAGACTCAGACATCAATTCCATAGCCAAATTTCAATGCTTTTTTTGGCGTTATTTTGAGCTGTTCTGCCTTTCCTTTAGGCGTATTTTACTGCCTTCTGTCTGCTCTCTTTAAAACGATGCTTTAATGTTCTATGTAAGCAACAAACATAAGAAATGAGAATCAAGTTACTACTCTAAATTTCAGACTTTTAAAAAACTTAAATCTAATGATGTTTTCAAAAATTAGAAAAGTAAATTGGACTGTACGAATTATGTTAGTAGAAGTAAAGCAAATAAATACGACTGTTGGTTATATGCCTGTGTGTTTCCATTTAAAATCTCATGGGATGTCTGGAGTGAGTGTTATTTTATGTATTAACAAAAGATAATTTATACTTTATGCTTTGAAGAGGATAAAGGGAAACTAAGGTAATAATGGATACAAAGTTACAAAGAAGAGGTGTTTTGTCCAACTTGCGGCCCAAGGAGGCCCCTGCAGATTTATTTGTCAGTAACTATTCAGCAATATTGTGGATAGTTTCACTTCCTGTCATGAATGCATAACTGACTTCTGGGAAGGTGTGTACATACATGGGTTTGGGAGGTTCGCTGAAAGGGGTTCGCCCCCCTCCCATCTTGGGGTAAGTGCCACTTAAGGGTTTTGTTGGAAGAAAAGATTCTTAATCAGAGCTGGATGAGGGCTCTGATGCATTTATCCCACCACTTAGGTTGTAAGGAACAGACATCATTTAACCCATGTGACTTTATGGCAATTTTACTTTGCAGCTATGGAGTCCTGCTGTGGGAGCTGCTCACGGGAGAAGTCCCCTACCGTGGCATCGACGGGCTCGCCGTGGCCTATGGGGTGGCCGTCAATAAGCTTACTTTGCCCATTCCATCCACCTGCCCGGAGCCGTTTGCCAAGCTCATGAAAGGTATTTGTGCACCTCAGTTTCTGTGTGTCTGTGGAGGCAACGGGACTCACTCAGGAGAACGTCTGTCTATTTTTTTTTTAAGGGCTTTTTTTTTAAAGATTTTATTTATTTATTTGACACAGAGAGAGAGATCACAAGGAGGCAGAGAGGCAGGCAGAGAGAGAGAGGGGGAAGCAGGCTGCCTGCTGAGCAGAGAACCTGATGTGGGGCTCGATCCCAAGACCCTGAGATCATGTCCTGAGCTGAAGGCAGAGGCTTAATCCACTCAGCTACCCAGGTACCCTGTCTATTTTTTTAAGCGAAAGAGTAATTTCTAGGATTCTAGGGTTACCTGGATGGCTCGGTCTTTGGGTATCTGCCTTCGGCTTAGGTCATGATCCCGGGCTCCTGGGATCGAGCCCCGGATCAGGCTCCCTGCTTAGTGGAGAGCCTGCTTCTCCCTCTCCCACACCCCCTGCTTGTGTTCCCTCTCTTGCTGTGTCCCCCCCCCCTCTGTTAAATAAATAAATGAAATGAAAAAAAGTAATTTCTAGGATTCTAATATACAAATGCTTGTAAGCAACTATACTGTTTTATGAATTAGAAACCTTTTCTTCACTCTAAGATGTAAGGTAAAGTACTGAGGGATTAAGTTACTTTTTAAAAACCCATCTAGTTGTATCAGTGACTCGGTTATGTACAAAATTTGGACAACTGGTAATGAAGTTTTCACCAAGTACACCAGTAGCACTCAAAGACAGAGCTTAGTTGGTTCCATTCTGCTATTTTAAATTCTACCTCATGATCAAAAATGTTTTATGATCCTAACCAGCACGGTTTTGCCATGACCTTATCTATTTCATTCTTGTCTTTTAAAAATTAACTGACTCCTTTTGCAAGCAGCTAATTACCTTCCTTCATTATTAGGCCATTTCTTAGAACCTCTCTTGTGATTATAACCTTTTAGAAACTTTAGTTTTCTTGGGTCAAGTTCTAGAACTCTGCACCTGTACATCCCCTGGCTAGAGCAGCCTAGGCTCCTGAAACAGAGTTCACTGTAAGGCATGAACGGCCCACACCCACATATTAACGTCCTAGAAGATAAACAACAGGAGCCTTATCTAATAGTAAATATTATGCATGCCACCGACCTGGTCACTGTGTAGAATAAAACTTTCAAAACCATTATCAGTTGGCTTTTAAAATCTCCAGCAGACACCATCAGCATGGGCTGATAATCCAAACTATGCTGAGAAATGGAATTAATGTGGTTCTTGTTGATTTTAGAGTGCTGGCAACAAGACCCCCACATTCGTCCTTCATTTGCCTTAATTCTTGAACAACTGACAGCTATTGAAGGGACGGTTATGACCGAAATGCCTCAAGAATCTTTTCATTCCATGCAAGATGACTGGAAGCTGGAAATTCAACAAATGTTCGATGAACTGAGAACAAAGGAGAAGGTGAGCAATCTGTCGTTGCGTAATGTACCCACATTTGTGAAGATTATGGAAAACATTTTATTAGGGGAATTTTTAAAAAGTAAAACAAATTTTTAAAAAGAAGAGAATAGCATACTAAGCCCTTTGGATAAATTAACCAACTTCAGTAATTGTCAATATTTTGTCATTTTGTTCATCTTTTTTCCCATTATCATCATTTTTTAAAAATGGGGTACCTTAAATTAAATCCTCGACTCATGTCATTTTACCTTTAAGTCCTCAATATGCATCTCTAACTGGTAAGAATTTTAGAAATAACTTTTTTGCCATTATTACCTTAAAAAGCAATTGCAATTCTTGGTATCTCATAATATTCTATATTCAGTAGTCACATTTTGTCTGAAAGTGTCTTTTTGTATGGTGACTCACATAATACAGCTAAAAAAAAAAATGAAAGGTGTCTTTTTACAGTTTTTGGTTAAAGCCTTTTTTTATGCTAGCCCTCCTCCTCCCCAACCCCCCTCCCCTACACCCAACCTTTTATCTCCAAAGCATTGCTTTGTCAGAGAAACTGGGAGAGTGTGTAATTTTTGAACTTTTAATATGATGAGTTAAGCTCTGGTTGGTTTGTATATTTTAAGAAGCAGCACAAAATAAACATACATGTTAAACGTGGCAAGGCTGCCACCATGTGCAGTGACACGTGAGACAGGAGGGCACACGGGATCAGAAGGCAGATGGTTGGGGAGTGAGTTCAGGTCGCATGGTCCCCCCTGGTGACGGACCAGGCTTACAGCCCTGAAGGACCCACCGTCACGGACTGCCGGGCTCTGTGCTACAGCAGCAGTCCTCACTTTTTTAAAGACACCTTTGTAGCACTTGAGTGTTTCCATGAATCAAGGTTTATTCTGCTTGAGTGTGTAATTGTTCAACAGGTTAAATTCTGTTGTATGTGCAGTCAGTGTCCGGACAAAGTCCAACATTGCAGGCTCTCGCTAACCTTTATGAAGCCGTGTCATTGTTCAGGGAGGAATTTTTATGCCTCATACATTTGTGATTCTAAAATGGTAGAATTCTCTTGAAGAAGGCGGTAGTGCTTTGCTCAATAGAGTCCACGGGCCCATTCCTGTTTACCCCACGGTAAAGCTACTTGGCCTTCTGTAGCGGGCTGTGTTACATCTCTAGACTTTTACATCTCAAAGGCCTGCAGTCAGCCCAAGTGCAAAGGTCAGGGCAGGAGCGGGACTAGCAAGTTGTGGTGTGAGTATATGTGCGTAAGCCTTTCTTGAGTTAGAGAAACTATTGCCACAGTATTGTGGCGATACCAAGACAACGTAGGCCCACATTCTGCTCTTGAGCCGCTGACGTCTACCGTTGTCTTGCTGAACTGGGAATTTATACAAGGCTTGTCGTAGGTATTCCCCAAGGTGCAACTTGTTTTCTTAAAAATACATGTAATTTAAAAATGTGTCTATGGGGACGTTGGTCTCAATTTCAAGGTTACATTTTGTTATTGTTTTGTTTTCCCCAGCAAATGTGTTGACTGTGCACTGTGGGCTGGGAGCAGTGTTAGAGTCCTGGGGTACAAAGAGGGATATGACAGTCTGTATCCTCGAGGTCCTTAGAAGGCCAGGCTAGGGATTTGGGATCTCACTGACAAGTTTTTAAGACGGGCCGGCTATGTATCTTGGCATCCCTTTCCCAAGAGACACTGAAGTCAGAACCTACTCTTCAAATTTAAATTAAATTAAATTAAAAAAATAAAAAATAAAATAAAATAATTAAATTTTTTTTTAATAATGGGATTGCTGTTCTCATAGCTATCCAGACTAGAGTTCTTGGAAGATGTTTCTGGTGGTCTCCTATGTGACAGAGCCCATCAGTGGGAATCCCTGCCCTCGTCCCCGTGGTCCTCACTCACCGCCTCCCTGCTGCTCCCCTCACCACCACTTCCGGTGCAGATCTGAGCATCCTCCTTCAATGGCCAGTCCCTTTCCTTATGAATTTCCTTTGTCCTGACAGATTTAGGACACTTTGTCACAATCATACTGAATTAATTTTGGTTCCTCTGATGCCATGCTCTTGACCGTAGGTCTTGGTGTAAATTCTCTTCTCTGTCCAGAAGACTGTCCCCTCCCTCACTTTTGGTCCCACTTCATGGGTGCCGGCTCCTTGACGGTTAGTGCTGCCCAGCTCTGTTCTCTTACCGGGACTCACTGGATGGACTGTGTCCTGGCATCCCACATCTCCCTCGTCAGGGCTGTGCTGAGTCCTGCCGGATTACCGTTCGCATGCTTCATTGTCCTTGGTTTGCCTTTTCTGCTTGGCAGTGAGTTTGTCTGCTGTGCTGCCCCGTTCTTGCTCATTTCTATCCACAGCACTGAAAAAAGTACTCAGCACAAGGCAGATAGGAGGTAAATTAACCTGCATAATATTTTTTAATATGCTCCTATTATCCTTATCACATTATTCCTGTAAAAGGGAATTTAAAAGGTGTATTATAAGCCTGTTTTGAGTCTTGTGCCATCGAAGCGGTGTACAACTCCGCTGTCTGACTTCTGCTAGTATGTTCTTGAGAGAGTCCCACACGCATGCACAGGGAAATTTTTGTTGTTCACGTCAGCGTGGTTTGTGAGAACGAAAACCTGGGAACAGCCTCCGTCCGTATCCCTAACAGCGAAGAGACACCCCAACCGCTGTGTATTGATTCAGTGGAAATCTGCAAACTAGTTAAAACCAATGAATTCTAGCTGCATGTTTCAACGTGGAGAAATCTCAAACAGAAGATGGAGCGGAAAAAGCAAGTTGCGGAAAAATAGTTACATTAGATGCCATTTACGTACGTTTACAAAACACCACCACTCAGATGTACAAAAAGACTGAAGGTACAGATAAGGGAAGGACAGAAAGCAGCTGAGGCTTAGCAGATCTGCAGGGGGGAAGGGAGAAGATTAGAGTCCCTGCATGTCAGCCTGCAGCAGACCTGAGATGGATCAGCTTAAAAACTTAGCATCTGGGGGGGCGCCTGGGTGGCTCAGTGGGTTAAAGCCTCTGCCTTCGGCTCAGGTCATGATTCCAGGGTCCTGGGATCCAGCCCCGCATCAGGCTCTCTTGCTCAGTGGGGACTCTGCTTCCCTTCCTCTCTCTGTCTGCCTCTCTGCCTACTTGTGATCTCTGTCTGTCAAATAAATAAAATCTTTAAAAAACAAATAAAAAACTTAGCATCTCTTAAATATTGATGGTGAGTGCATGGTTATTTGCTATTTTAATTGTAGTATATTTTAAATATTTCATGATTTTAAATGATTATAATAAAGACTAAAGAGAAATATGTAAACTGTTAGTCATTTTTTCCCCTAAAGTCATTTTTTTCAAGTAGTAAATGTGTAGGTAATTCAGTCCCTTCTTAGATCTTTCAGTATTTTGTGAGTTTAAAAATATAAAACAGGCAGGGACGCCTGGGTGGCTCAGTTGGTTAAGCGGCTACCTTTGGCTCAGGTCATGGTTCCAGGGTCCTGGAATCGAGTCCCACATTGGGCTCCTTGCTCGGCGGGGAGCCTACTTCTCTCTCTGCCTGCCTCTCCCCTTGCTCTCTCTCTCTCTCTCTGACAAATAAATAAAAATATTTTAAAAAATATAGAAAACAGGCTAATGCAACCTTAGATGGTGGGTTTGATTGTCAGCACTGGGTTTTAAAGAGCCCCACAAGGAAGATGGCCTGAAAAGCAGGGAAGGACCTGGGAACCCATCCAGTGTGGGCAAAGAACAGTAGGGGTACCAAAGGGGGTGGTGCTTTGGGGGGCTACCCTGGAATACTGGAGGATCTTGAAATGGGGGGACTATGCTTCCTGTTGTTTCAGAGTTTGGAAGTAGGACTTCCCAGGTGAAAGCTCCCAGGATTTAAACGTCTCAGAACCACCAACTTTCTGACACTTAGAGCCCACAGTGACAGTGGTGGGGCAGACTGTGTTCAGCTTCCTTCCCTCCGGGGATGCAAGCGTCCCAGCCCCAAGGGGATATCTCAACAGGATTCTAAAAAGTGTGACAGACCCCCGGCCCTTTTGTCAATACACATTTGTAGCAGAGAGCCAAAATCTTTAGCAGTCCAGCAAAGTGGTGACTGGAGCCCGGCAGCTGGCTGGAATCAGGGCTCTACCATTTGCTGACCCAGGGCTCCCCCGCCCACCGTCACGGGAAGGCTGCTGTCTCCCGGGGGTGCCGGGAAACTCACAGAGTGCTAGGTGCAGAGTGCTCAGAGCAGTGCCCAGCACTTGGCAAGTGCTGAGGAAAGTGGTGGTTTTAATTCGAACCCAAGCAGGTGCCAGCAGCCACACCATTCCCTGGGCCAGACAGGCAGGAAACTGGGCTCCCCTGAGCAATAAAATGCTTGAAAATGACCTGACCGGGTTTCTCGGTAAATCTTACGTTGAGTCGAAGGATCACTTTCTGTGATATTATTACTACGTTTTTTGGGAAACTTTAATACATTTTGTTGACTTAGTGTAATAGAGAAAATACTGACTTTTTTTTTCTTTTTACACTTTACCAAATTGTTCTCGGGAATTCCAAGATTAGATGTTTAAATAGCAAAAATAAAAAAGATTTGGGGCATGGGAGTGGACTTTGAAGAAAAATAAAAGAAATCACAGGATTTACAATTTAGAGGTGATATTATTAATAATGCTGATTTTTATTTATTTCACTTATTTATTTTAAATTGTTGATAATTATTTATGACACCGCAGGGTAGAAGCATACCCAGTGAGTTAATTGTTACTATGTATGTGGTATAAAAGTCAAGAAGCGTGCTTCAGGAATGCATGTCTGCTCTTTCACCATTCTGGGGCTTTATAGTAGTTTCTTTATTATTCTTTGGGTACACTTCGGAGCTATCCTCTGGAGGAACCTTTGCTTTTTCTCCCTATATTCTTTCGGTGCGGTGCCCCTTGAAAATACAGCATTCATGTCATCTCGTGAGCCTCTGACTAAAATTAAAGAGAATATTTAATGCTTTCTTTTTGTCCTCAGAGGTTTCTAACTGTGTCTTTTTAGACAGAGTCAAAGGCACAGCGTACGTGCACTATCTCCCTTTCTTATTCACTGATTGCTTAAGGTAGGAGGCGTCAGACTTGGAATTAATGGTCAGTAACTTGGCGTGCTCTGCGTTACTCAGTAAACTGCAGCCTCCACACATAGCCGTTCCTCCCTAAATTCCTGGCCTCTTATCTTCATGGGTCCGTCTTTGTGCATTGGGTGGCAGCATGCACCTGTTTTTGAAGCACTATTAGAAGGCATGTCACCGTTAATGATTAACATCCACTGCCAGGAATCCGGGTTTGCCATTACTAGAATGGCCCGTGCCAAGCAATTAAACAAATATTACTGCCTAGAAATCTCAGCAACCAAAAGAATTTTTGTGTGTGGTTCATAATTTCAGTGTATTCAAAGGGGTTCTAAAACCCCAGGCCTTTTTTTGTCTTTTACTTTTGAATGTTTTTTTTAAATTTATTCAGAAGGAAGAGTACTTTGGCTGCTTTCTTTTTGATCTTTTTATTTTTTCTCTTGCGAAGTCTTGGGCAAGGGATTTTTTTTTTTTTTTTTTTTTTAATTTGTAAAGCCATTGCCGGGGATTCACATTTTAGCCTGGGGACCTGGAATTAAGCATGGTTCCTTCTTCAGGTTTTGTAGGAGTAACACACAAAATACCTAATTGAATTTGCTGCCCTTATCTGTTCCTCATGCCATTTCATTTCGCAATAGTTAATTGGATTGTTATCAACACCACTGAAAAGTCCTATCTTAAGAAAAGAGCAGATAGTAATGAGTTAGACATTGGAAGTTGACTGGAAGGTGTCCTCTGTCCCCAAATAGACGATGGTAATATCTCCAGTTTGGACAAACTGGTTGGAGAAGTCCATCAATTAAATAACAGATTCCAGGATTTTTTTTCTAATATGTACTATTTTCTTTTTTTTTTTCCTTTTCTTGTAATAAATAGTAATTTATGTCCGGAGTAATGTAATTAAAAAAATACTGGTCTGCTTGTAAATAAGAAGCAGTTGGTACATATCACCAGAAGTGACTTGAATTGCCCTAGTTGGTTTTAAGTAAATTTTTGCTTTTGCAATTTTATGAAGTTTGTTTAGAAAAAAATAAATTTAAAGAATGTTTCAAAGGTGAATTTCAGCCCACTTTGGTCAATACAGTAAATTCAGGATTAGTTTGATCTGATTAATTTTTTGTTTCGTTTTTTTAGAGCTCTCTAGTCTCTTCTTGATATTACGATGTTTATTTGTGGAAGGAGGGTCTTCTGTGTTTTCCTCTATGATAATGGTACCAATGAATAACCTCCAAATATTCTTTGAGCCCACCTGCAAAAAGTCCAAGGGACTAGTGGACTTCAGTCAACCTGTTAGTCCCATAGTTCAGCTCTGGTTTCTCCCAGGCGCTTTGTTTTGTAGTGTCCTTTCATGCGTCAGTGTTCCTGAGGTGGGCTGTGCAAAGTGGCCTGCTTATAAACGTGCGCCATGTCTGCCCGATGCTCAGAGCTCCCGGCCCGAAGCTCCACCTGAGAAGGCGTCTACGGTTTCTAACAAAGATCTTGGTTTTAGGATGGTCTACGATTAAATTCTCTGGAGCAGTGTAAATGAAAGCTTGCAAATGCCTTGATTTCTGTGTGAGAGCTTGATTTAGTAGCAGGTAATCAAGGAGAGAAAGTAGCTCAGCCCTGAAAAGACCATTTATGTCTCTGGTGAAGGACGGATCATGTTATAGAAATGAAAAAAGAATGGAAGTGTGATTTGAAAACTTTGTAGAGCTCTTGGTTTTACTATTGAATACTTTTTCCTAATAGGAACAAAAGTACAGTTGACCCTTGAATGACATGGGTTTGAACTATGTGGGTCCACTTATACATGGCTTTTTCCAATAAATACAGCGCTGTGAATGTATTTTCTCTTCATTTTGTTAATAACATTTTCTTTTCTCTAGTTTAGTTTGTTGTAAGAATACACTGTCTGATGCATACAACATACAGAATACATGTTAATAGACTATGTCCTCACTAAGGCTTCAGTAGGCTGTGATTAGTGGTTAAGTTTTTGGGGAGTCAAAAGTTATTTATAGATTTTAGATGGCACGGTGGGGGGAGGGTCAGTGCTCCTAAAACCATGTTGTTCAAGGATTAACTATATGCTTCAATTCATAGATTTTTCTATAACGTTAAATAATTCTGAAACCCAACCAAGAGGAAGCTAGACTCTAGTCAGGAGGCACTGGGGCAGCGGGATGTTGTGAGCTCATACATGAGATCTGCCTGTAACGTGATAGTTTGCATTCACCCACGGGGTCCTAAAAAGTTCATTTCCCATTGACTTATTTTAGAGATGCTCATTTTCAATTCTGATGGGCCTCCAGCTGACTTTGAACACATCAGCTTTGTTTTTCCTTTAACCTCGCCTCCATGATGTTTCAATCTCTATGCAAATTCTTAAAGACTTTGGGCTTTATTTGGAAAAAGATCGTTCCCACCTATATTTTGTTGCTCCACGTTAATGTACATTTTGTATGTCAGGTGATTTATAAAGGCCAGAGATGAGAGAGAAATGTTCAAATCAGCTGTAAAAAATCTGTGATGCCTTTTGAAGACCAAAGGCTGAGAGCACTTGATGGAACCCATGCAAGGCTTTAGCTGTCGTCTAAGTGCTGTGCTAGAAAGATCTCCGCTCTGACTGTCCTGACTGCCAGGGGATCTGTCCCAGGAGGACTGGAGGGGCCAGGGGGTGGGCTGAAGGGCAGGAGCCCCTGCTTCTCGCTCACAGCAGGTGTGCTCTCTGCCCAGGAGCTGCGGTCCCGAGAGGAGGAGCTGACCCGAGCCGCACTCCAGCAGAAGTCCCAGGAGGCGCTGCTCAGGCGGCGGGAGCAGCAGCTCGCGGAGCGGGAGATTGACGTGCTGGAGCGGGAGCTCAACATTTTGATATTCCAGTTAAACCAGGAGAAGCCCAATGTCAAGAAGAGGAAGGGAAAGTTCAGGAGAAGTCGACTGAAGCTCAAAGATGGCCATCGAATCAGTTTACCTTCAGGTATGATTTTCGTCCTCCTGTTTCATAAGAGTTTTGAATGTCAGCCCCGAAGTCGGCTTTGCTTCTCTAACACCGGGAAGAGTGGGAGACTTGAGATTGCAAAACATTACGTGAAGGGCGCCTGGGGGGCTCTGTCAGTTAAGCATCTGCCTCCTTTGGCTCAGGTAGTGATCCCAGGATCCTGGGATCAAGTCCTGCCTCAGGCTCCCTGCTCAGTGCAGAGTCTGCTTCTCCCTCTGCCCCTCTCCCCTGCTTGTGATCTCTCTTTCTCTCTCTCTCTCTTTCAAATAAAGGAATAAAATCTTAAGAGTATAAATTGAAAAAAAAAAAACCCACATTACTTGAATAAGTATCTTCACTTGTTTGCTTCAGTTCGTGGTCATAACATAATGACCCAACTCATGGTCACGTTCACGTGCGAAAAGCATCAGTCGTGCCTTACAGCACATTGTGTCCTGAGAAGTTAGCTCTGGGTGTGCTTGGCTGTAAATGGATTCATAGATTTACTCCTTTTGAAATTAAAGGAGAATTCCTTTTTAGTTCATGGCACTGAACCAGCATTGCATGGCGTGGTGAAAAATTCCTGAACAACAGAATTACTGCTAGTTCGTTACTTAGTTGCTTCCACAAAGATCTACGATGTCATCTGGTAACTAAGTTTACTTGAGGCATTGAAGATGCTATTCGCAGCTTCAACAAAATACATCGAGTACTTTAATTGTTTGCCTGTCATCTCTACATTTACTGGTTCATTTTTATACCTCCTGGATTTTAAAACATTGTGACAGTTTTAAACGTTGTAATACGTTAGAAGAAACTAAACAGAATAGAAAATAGCAAACATAGATCAGTTTGTAAAATTACATTCTTTAATATACATGGTATACTTGATTTAAGGAAAAACCGCATCCCCCTTCCCCCACCACCATACTTTGTGATTCTCCTAATACTGGGGAAGAATGGTGACATGGTGACGGAATGAGAGCTGGCTGCATTTTCATGGAATGTGCACTAAATATCTATTTATCTGTTCTCCTTATGTCTCCACTTCTCCCTGTATATTATGGAGTCCCTTTAAGGATGCTAATGTTGTCCTAAGCTGTTTGTTAATGGCATGGAAACTGATTTTAAATAGCTGTATCAATAGCTTGGTTTTATATGTAAAGTATGTATAAATTGTCTTGTAAAATTGCTAATTACAAAGTACTGGAAGGCTTGCAAAACAATGTGATCTTCCAGGTTATTGCAGAAACCCTCAGTTGATCAGAAAATCGCTGATATGTGGCCGTCAGTATACAGTATACATTATTGATTATTTGGTTTACTGAAGTGAGGATAGGCTGTGGCTCCTTACTCATTTTATACCTGACCTCTCTGGGGGAGAAAAAAATATACTTTTTCAGGTTCTCTTCTGATGTTTGCTTTTTAGCCAAAGGGTAACTTGGGGGACCATGGACTGTGCTATTTTGTATGTCAGACATAATTTAAAATAGCCTATTTTATTTATGATGAGGCTTCTGCTTTCAAGTGTAGATGATAGAAAAATCCAGAGAAGCACTCCATGTGCATTTTCTCGAGTTCTTAGCTATAGCAGCCTTCTATCTGTGTGGTGACTATGTTACCCTGATTACAATTCACTGATTCGGGAGCTGGCCAATAAGAAGTTGATGGAGAATAAATTTGGGAGAAAAAAATTAAATCATTCCACGGATCCTTTCATCTTCAGCGGCCAGATGATTAAAGTACATATCTCAGGATTCCTGAGTTCACTTTTGCTCCTGCTTTTCTTCTCAAATCGTGTTTGGCCAATATTCATATTCATTCCAAGGAGATTGAGTGCATTTGACTATTTTTAGATTTATATTATTTTATATTTTATATAGTATATATAAATACCTATTTTTTAATATTTTATATATTATATTGTATATTATATACATTTAGATTTCTATTATTCCTGAATTGCACTATTTGGCTTTTCTCTCTCTGAGAATTTTAGTTACACATTTATTTACCTCGTGGCACTTAATAAATGATTCCATTTAAAACCATATCCCCCAAAACCTGCTATAATCGGAATCCACCTGAAGGAATGAAATTCAGTTGCTGTGATTTAGTATGGTATGTACCTCTTCTGGCCACAAGGTGGTGCTACATTGTTGTCACACTGTTACCACCATGGAAACTGTTTTTGTTTAGAATCCCCCAACTCGGGTGCCTGAGTGGCTCAGTTGGTTGAGTGACTGCCTTCAGCTCAGGTCATGATCCTGGAGTCCTGGGATCGAGTCCCGCATCAGGCTCCCAGCTCCACGGGGAGTCTGCTTCTCTCTCTGACCTTCTCCTCGCTCATGCTCTCTCTCACTGTCTCTCTCTTCTCTCAAATAAATAAATAAAATGTTTAAAAAAAATTATTAAAAAAAAAAAAGAATCCCCCAACTCTTTGTACACACACACACATACACAGACACACACACAATTTACTTGCACAATGTCCCAAAGCAGGATACATATCCAAAGATTCAAGGAGAAGAATGAACCCTAACAATACTTATTTTTCTCCTTTGGGAATTTGGCTTAGTATAGAAGTAAAAGCAGTTACTCATGCCTTAAGTTCAAGAAAGTTACTGTCTGCTAGAAATTTCCTTGAGTTACCAAATGTTAGTACTACTGAATGGTACACTACTAAGGAAGAAACACTGGCAGTAGGTTGAATGGCAGTGACACTTTCCTTTCAGTGTACCAAATCCCTCCAACCTCTTGCAGGAATTTTCTCCATGTTCAACTAGCATAAAAATTTTCTCAGAAACATATCTGAGACTCCTACAGACTGGTTTTTGGTATCTGTGCCTGTGCCTCTTTCATAACCTTGTTATTAAGTGTGAATAGTTATCGCAGCATAATTTTGTCCTTAAGAATCACTGAGGATAACTTTTGTCTTATTGCTGTTTATAGCTATGATGACGTACTGCTAGAAAACTCAACTGTAGTTCCTCGCACTGGCAATCCTTCATGGAGCCCTGACCAAATAAGGATAGATGCTTATAAAAGGAGGAAACATAATCTAAGACAAGAGTTTTTAAGTTATATTTTATGAATTCTTGGAATCTGTAGGAAGAAAACGTGATCGTGGTAGATATTTTCCTATTGTGACCACTTTCTATCATTCACTCTGCATTATGCTTATCTTAAACCAAAGTTATGTTTTTAGAACATATAAAACAAGGCCAAGAGGCTTTGAAGCCTTCAGAAGTTGGTAGGTTTCTGAAACTATGGCGTTCCAATTTCAGCCACTCAGCGATGCCGAAAGCCCGCCCAGTCATCTGCCTCGTGTGCAAATGTGAGAGTCAGTGCATGCACACGCAAATGCGACTACTTTCAGGGCCAAAACGATCATTCCCGCTGAGACTATCATGACACATTGCCAATAAAAGTATTAGTGTAGGTTTTACCCCAAAGCCTGTGGACCTCACGATAACCTGCCATGAGAAAACTGTTCTCTCAAGTTCAAAGAAAAATAACACCAGCCTGTTTCCTAAATGCATAATGGGGACAGAGTCAACCTTTCTCCACTTTATAGGGACAAGGATATTTATAATAAAAAGCATTTTATGTTTAAAAAGATCAAGAGTGCCCTTTTTTTGAGAGAGAGAAATTAGGGTTTTTTTTTTTTTTTTTTTAGAAAATCAGAAGCACTCTGAAGCTTAGGTATCATTGAAATCCAGTTTTGTGTCTTTGCTACTCCTCCTTGGTCTTACTGACGTTCTGTGCCAGTTACCCTGCCATCATCTGTTCCCCTTGGTCTCTGGTTCACATGCTGTCACTTGGTTCTCTAGTTCTGAGGATGGCAAGAACACACCCGCTTTTGGCCCTCCTGTTCTGAGGGCTGGCGTCTCCTGGACGATTTTTTTCCAGAATGTTCTGACATGTCACGGGGCTAGCTGAACCTTCACAAAGTACTTCAATCTAAAATAAACTCTTTTGTGTCTATGGGTAAGGGTAATTCTTTCTTTTACTTTTCCCCCCTCCCCCACCAAATCCAGTCCGTCACCATGTCCTGCTAAACTGCTCTCTTGCATCCATTCTCCACTTAGGTCAGATCTTTCATTTTTCTTACTTGGTAGACGGGAGGAGCCGCCTACCTGCTCCTTCATTTCCCCTCGCTTTGTCTTCCAAACCACCGCGCACCCTGCTAGCTACATTCCAGCCATCAACCGTAAGCTCCAGTTTGATTCTACTGCAAAACCTTACACCGCTTTCTTGTACCATGATCAAGTAGCAGGGATTACGAGAAAATAAACAGGATTTCTGCCCTTATGTTATTTATAATCTTAAGCAGAGAAAATATTGACTCAGCAAAGATTTCCTTAGTAGCTTTTCTGGGCGGGGCAGTGTGCCAGCCCGCAGTGGGGTGCTGCCGTGGTGGAGGTTTCTGGCCCCTGCCCCAAGAGCTGACGTTGTCCTGGGGCAGGGGAATGAGACCAAAGCAAATAATTAAATACTCATTTACTCACTAAGATTATGAACTACGATGAGAGAAGGGTCATATGACAGTGATTAGCTGAAAGGTGTCACCTGCTCTAAGGAGAGCATAGAAGTCATCCTAACGAGGTAACATTTAAAATGAGACTTGAGGGGCGCCTGGGTGGCTCAGTGGGTTAAGCCTCTGCCTTCAGCTCAGGTCATGATCTCAGGGTCCTGGGATCGAGCCCCGCATCGGGCTCTCTGCTCAACGGGGAGCCTGCTTCCCCATCTCTCTCTGCCTGCCTCTGCCTGCTTATGATCTCTCTCTCTGGCAAATAAATAAATAAAATCTAAAAATAAAAAAAAAAATAAAATGAGACTTGAAGTTAGGAATTGACTGAATACAGAGGAGGAGGAAGAGAACAGGCAGCGAGCACAGGCAGAGAAGGCTTGGTTCCTTCCAGGAACTAAAAAAGACCACTGTGGTTTGTCCGGGGGCAGCCCCCCATCCATTCTGTGCAGCCCACAAAACGGTTCAATGGTTTATGCACTTTTAAACACTCGAAAAGAAGACCAATATGTCATGGCATGTGAACATGATATGAAATTTAAATTGCCATTTCCATAAATAAAGTTGTATTGGAACACATGTATGTATCGTGTACGACCAATTGCTCACGAGATCGGCAGATTTGAGTACCTGTAACAGAGGCCATGTGGCCCACAGTGTTTAAAACATTTCCTCTGTGTCACTTTACAGTAAAGTTTGCTGACCCCCCAGTTCAGACCACAGCAAGTGACGGGAGAACAGGGCAGCAGGAGGTGGGAGGCACGAAGAACCCAGACTCAGATTTGAGGGCCCTACACGGCATGTAACAACTTTGATCTCTGTCACTTAAGTAATGCAGAACCTTTGAAGACTTGTCAGCAGGGGGATGCTGTGGGCTGGCATACATTTTTAAAATGCATCTGGCTGCTGTGAGCTAGACCCGAGGGACCCAGGGCAGACACGGGAAGCTGGGAAGGGAGCTGCGGCAGCTCCTCCAGCGCGGCATGGCAGTGGCAGTGGTGGGCGGAGAACAGAAAGAGTCACCGACATGCATCACTGCAGCTTCTGTCCCGAGCCCCGAGCCGAGTGTTCTCTATACTTTCTAGTTAATTGTTCAGCGCTGTCCTGCAGAGTAGAAATTGTGATTTACTTTCCATTTTTGTATGTGGAGACAACTGAGATGCCTCCTGAAAATTCATGTGGCTGCCAAGCGCAAGGCTGGGATTGACACACGGAGTCTGCTGCTTCCAGAAGCTGGCGTACAAGCTTCTCAACTAGAGCTCTCTGGTGAATCTGGAGCGCGGGACTGACACGATACGTTATGTGCGCTCAGATGCGGAGGGTCAGGGAGAAGAAGACAATGTTACACATTTCCGGATGCGCAGCAGGGACGAGCGGAGACACGTCTGACTGCCGGGTTCCAGCTCTTCCGCATGTCAAACACTAGGTGGTTCTTTCAAGTCCTTTAAAGTGTAAAGTACAGTCTTCTAAAAGGAAAATCATAGCTCTCTTGCCAATATGAAATGAACGCGTGTCAAAGATTTTTATCCAACTCGCCAATAATTAGGACAACCAGCTAAAATTGGTTTCAGTGGGAGTTTGAGGAGCTACATATCTATGGGCAGTTGAATAAGGAAACGTTAGAGTTAGATTTCTAGGTTAAATATAAACAGGGTTAGTGCCCAGTGTGGCCACAAGCCATAACCTTTGGGATTGTCTTTCACACCAGACAGAAATTGTTTGCATCACCACCAGACAGAACCTACCAGTTAACCTCTGCCCCCACCGAGCTGTAAAAACAGCCACTAGAAAATCCAAAGGTTCAGCCCCGCAGTGCACTGGAGTAATTTCTTTTACCTGCGCCTGAGGTTTTGATGACTTTCCAACAGCTGACAGAGTTCTCCCAGACACTCTCCTCTTCCACTCTGGTGACCGCTAATTCCTAGTCGTTGGCTGCAGTTTCATGACAGCTGTCCGTGTGACCGTTAGGTCCTAGGACTGTGGAATGCTTTTAACCGGGGCAAGGTTGGGGGAGTTTTCCTTGACCCTCTTAGGGTCCCCGTTTGGGTCTGAAAGTCAAACTGTCAAAGGTGGATTAATGGGGCGGGAAGCATAAAAAATTATTTAACATAAGTTTGATGTGACAGGGGAGACTTCATAAGGAAATGAAGACCTAAAGAAACAGACCGGAGTGTTCTTCTACTGGGTTTGATGAAGAGTAGACGGTTGTGGAGAAATGTAATAGGTTAAGGGAAGGTTTTGGGGAGTAGCATGTTCCAGACCCCCTAGAGCCAGCATTTTCTGTTTTAATTACCACAGCAGAGATGTGATGTATTGGTTGTTTCTGTCCAACAGTAGCAGAGATGAGCTCAGAGGGTTCCTTACCGGTTTGAGGTCCCTAGATGGTCTGTAGCAGAACCAGGACTCACTGAAATCCACAGTGTCTCCTCTTTCAAATTTGTTTTCCACTGTGTTAGACCACACCAAGGTCACGTTCCTTCCTAGAAGATGGTTAGGTTCTACAAGTACTCAGTAATGTCCCATTGGTCTGTGCCTGGGTGTCTGACTATACCTAACATATCCTAGACTCCGATTATTTTTTTGAAAGATTTTATTTATTCATGAGAGACAGAGGGAGGCAGAGGGAGGAGCAGACTCCCCGCTGAGCAGGGAGCCTGATGTGGGACTCGATTTCAGGACCCCAGGATCATGACCCGGGCTGAAGGTAGACACTCAACCGACTGAGCCACCCAGGCACCCTTGTAAACTCTGATTATTATTGACTCTCGAGCCCTGAATGGAAGATAAGAAGGAAACCAAGAAACAGACCCAGAGATACCTGCTTCTTACCCTCTGGCATATTTTGCTCTTATTGTTTTGTACTGACAAAGTGCCTGTGAATAGAGCCTAAAACCATGAACTCTCAATTCTCACTTCTTTGCCTGTCCAACAGACTTCCAGCATAAAATCACCGTCCAGGCCTCTCCCAACTTGGACAAACGGAAGAGTGTGAACAGCAACGGCTCCAGCCCACCCAGCAGCCCCACAGTTATCCCTCGGCTCCGAGCGATACAGCGTAAGCCTTCCCCCAGGGCACGGGGGCTCCTCTGGGGCTTTCTGTCCTTCACTGACTTGGAGTCCATCAACCAAACATGTACCATTGCTCACTGTCACTAACACGTGACTTTAATAGGTGTCCCAACTTTTCAGAAAACAAAATTTGGTCTTACATTTCTTAGTCTAATTTTCTTCTTCTTTTTTTAATTGAGACATAATTGACGTATAACATTATACTAATTCCAGGCATACAACATGATTATCTGATACTTGTGTATATAGTTGACCCAGAAACAGCGTGGGGGGTTAGGGCTGCTCACCACCACTGCGCCCACCACCATGCCGTACAGCTGAAAATCCACATACAGCTTTTGACTCCCTAGAAATTTAAGTGCTAATAGCCTGGTGTTGACTAGAAGTCGTACTGATTCACAAGAAACAGTCAATGAGCACAGATTTTGCATGTTATACGTATTATATACCGTATTCTCATAATAAAGTAAGCCAGAGAAAAGAAAATATTAAGAAAATCTTAAGGAAGAGAAAATACATTTACTAGACTATATTGTACTTATTGAAAAAAGTCCACATAAAAGTGGACCCACACATTTCAAACCCATGTTGTTCAAGGGTCAAATGTATTGCAAAATGATCACCACAGTAAGTCTAGTTAACATGTCACCATGCATAGTTACAAAATCTACTTTTCTTATTATGAGAACTTTAAAGATTGACTCTCTTGGCAACTTTCAGATATGCAATACAGTGTTCCTAACTATAGTCACCACACTCTACATTCTGTCCCCGTGACTTAGTTATTTTATACCCAGCGGTTTGTTCCTTTTGACCACCTTCACGCATTTCGTCTACCCTCTGCCTTTGGCGGCCACCAATTTATTCTTTGTATGTATAAGGTCTTTTTTAAAAAATTTGATTCCACATATAAACAAGATTATATAATATTTGTCTGTCTGACTTACTTCCCTTAGCATGAGGTCCATCCGTGTTGTTGCAAATGGCAAGATTTCATTGTTTTTTTTTTTTTCTGGCTGAATAATATTCCATTGTATAGATATACCACATTTTCTTTATCCATTCATCTGTTGATGGACACTAAGGTTGTTTTCATGTCTTGGCTAGTCTAAATAATGCTGCCCTGAGTTTGAGGGTGTGTATATATTTTCGACTTAGTATTTTTGTTTTCTTCAAGTACCCAGAAGTGGAATTGCTGGATCGTATGGTAGTTATATTTTTTTCCAGTTTTATTGAGGAATAATTAACATGCATCACTGTATACATTTAAGCGTGATCATTTGATTTATGTATACTGTGAATTGATTACCTCAATAGGTTCAGCTAATGTCCATCTTCTCATATAGATATGATAAAAAGAAAAGAAAGAAAAAAAGAAAAAGGTAAAATGTTTTTTCTCTTTGTGATGCGAACTATTTGGATTTACTCTCTTAACTTTTCTTTATAACATACAGCAGTGTTGGCCATAGTCATCCCACACATTATATTCCCAGTACTTATTTATCTTATAACTATAATTTATCTTATACCTTTTGACCACCTTCCTCCGATTCTCCCTTCCTCTCTACCTTACACCTCTGGTTTTAAGTGTGATCTCTTTTTCTGTCAGTTTTCTTTTCTTTCTTTTTTTTTTTTTTTTAGATTCCATGTGTAAGTGAGATCATATAGTATTTGTCTTTTTCTGTCTGATTTATTTCATTTAGACTAATGTCCTCTGGGTCATCCATGTTGTTGGAAATGGCAAGCTCTCATTCTTTCTAATGGTTGAGCAGCATTCCATTGTGTATATATACATTCATCCATTGATGGACACTTGGGTTGTTTCCATGTTTAGGCTATTGTTCATAAAGCTGCTATGAACAAGGAGGTATGGATATCTTTTCAAGTTAGTATTTCCATTTCCTTTGGGTATATCCCTAGAAGTGGAATTGCTAGATCATATGGTAGTTCTATTTTCCATTTTTGAGGCTTCTCCATACTGTTTTCCATAGTGGCTGCACCAACTTGCTGTCACACCAGCAGTCCACAAGGGTTCCCTTTTCTCCACATCCCTTCCAGTATTTGTTATGTCATGTCTTCTTGAGGGTGGCCATTCTAAAAGGTACAAGGTGATATCTCATTGTGGTTTTGATTTGCATTTTCCTAATTACTAGTGATGTTGAGCATCTCTCATGTGCCTGTTGGCCATTCATATGTCTTCTTTGGAGAAATGTCTGTTCAAGAACTTTGCCTATTTTTTAATAAGGTTACTTGATTTTTTTGGGCTATTGAGTTCTGTGTTTTTTTATATATTGGTTATTAGCCCCTTACCGGGTATATAGTTCACAAATATTTTTTCCCATTCCATAGGTCTTTCCACTTTGTTGATGGTTTCTTTTGCTGTATAGACACTTTTTAGTTTGATGTAGTCCACTTATTTTTTATTTTGTTGCTTGTGCTTTTGGTTTGATAACCAAAAAAATCATTGGCCAAGACCCATGTCAAAAATATTTATTCTTATATTCTAGGAGTTTCATGGTTTAAGGTCTTACATTTAAGTCTTTAATCTATTTTGAATCAATTTTTATGAGTGGTTATAATATATGGGCTGAATTTCATTCTTTTACATGTGAATATTGAAGAGTCTTTCCTCCATTGCATATTCTTGGCACTCTTGTCAAATATTAGTTGAGCATAAACGGTGGAGTTTACTTCTGGGCTCTCTGTTCTGTTCTGTTGGTCTATTTGTCTGTTTTTATGCCAGTACCACACTGTTTTGATTACTTATACCACTGCTTAAAATCAGGGAGTATGATATCTCTTGCTTTGTTTTTTCTCAAGATTTCTTTGGCTATTTGTGGTCTTTTGGGATTCCATATAAATTTTAGGAAGGGATTTTCTACTCCTGTAAAAAGGGCCATTGGAATCTTGATAGGATTGCATTGAATCTATAGGTAGCTTTGGGTAGTATTGACATTTTAGCAGTATCATTTCTTCCAATCCCTGAACACAGGATACATTTCCATTTATTTGTGTCTTCTCTGATTCCTTTCATCACTATCTTACAGTTTTCAGAACAGAGATCTTTCATTTCCCTGTTGAATAGGAGTGGTGAGTGTGGGCACTCTTGTTCCTGATCTTAGAGGAAAAGTTTCAACTTTTCACCATATAGATGATGTTAGCTGTGGGCTCATCATACATGGTCTTTATTTTGTTGAGAGATATTCCTTCTGTGCCTAATTTGTCAAGGGTTTTTAACATGAATGGATATTGAATTCTGTCAAGTAAGTGTGTGTGTGTGTGTGTGTGTGTGTGTATCTATTGAGATGACCATATGATTCTTTTCTTTCATTCTATTAATGTGATGTATCACATTGATTAATTTGTATATGTTGAACCATCCTTGCATCCCAGGGGTAAAGCCCACTTGATCATAGTGAATGATCCTTTTAATGTGCTGCTGAATTTTGTTTGCTAGTGTTTTATTCAGAATTTTTACATCTATGCTCATTAGGGATATTGGCCCATAGTTTTCTTTTCTAGTAATGTGCTTTTCTGGTTTTGGTAACAGGGTATTGATTGCTTTAGAGAATGAGTTTGGGAGTGATCCCCCATATTCCCCCTGGTGCAGGATCAGAGTACGGCTCCTGCAAAAGTGACCCACGATGATGGGGGTGTACTCTCCCCCCGGTTTCTCTTTGTCCACTGGAAGAACTGGAGGGTCAGGGGAGACCTGTCTTTGTGGTGCTGCACTGGGCCGGGGAGGGGGGGCAGTGCACTCCATGTGTAGCTGCTTCCCTTAGCCTTATGATGTGGTCTGTCCTGGTCTCTGGGGTGTAAGGGGAGTGCTATAGCCTCGCCCCTGTGTTCTAGGATCCTCTCAGTGGTATCTTATTCTCAAATAGTTGTTTGATGTTCTTGTGAGGAGGAACAAAGTCAGTATACCCTACATAACCATCTTGGTCACAATTTGGTAGTTCTTTTTTAATTTTTTGAGGCACCCCCATATCATTTTCCCAGTGGCTGCAGGAGTTGACATTCCCACCAACAGTGCACAAGGGTCCCGTTTCTCCACACCCTCATTAACACTTACTATTTCTTGTCTTTTTGATACTAGCCAGTCTAACAGGTGTGAGGTGATACCTCACTGTGGTTTTGACTTGCATTTTCATGATGAGTGATGTTGAGCATTTTTTCCTGTGTCTATTGACCATCTGGATGTCTTCTTCGGAAAAATTCAGCTCTTCTGCCCATTTTTAGTTGGATTATTTGCTTTTTGTTAGTGAGATGTATGAGTTCTTTATACATTTTGGATATTAACCCCTTATCAGATATGTGATTTGCAAATATTTTCTTCCACTCCATAGACTGCCTTTTCATTTTATTGATAGATTCCTTTGCTATGCAGACTTATTTTCACAATAATGGTTTTTAGATTCTATGCAATTGGTGATCTGCCCAGGCCACAGAGTAGAACGGGGAGTACCATATCTTGAGACACTTTGATAAACACTTGTATGCAAAATTAGCATAACCTAATTATATCAGTAGCATATTTATGGATATTTTGAAAAATGAAATCAGGAATTCAAGATTTTTCCATTTCTTTCCTTGTTTGGAAAAAAAATTGCTCTTGAGATCTATGTTTCATTTGATCTATGCTGGGCAACATAATACTTTAAAATACTATGTAGTATTTTGATTTTAGAGAGAGTGTTCAGACTGGTGGGGGAAAAAAAGGCATGTAGCTAATTTGCCTGGCACCTTTGCAATGTGAGAGTTTTCAGTTAGACCTTAAATCAACGTTTAGTGGAATTAAATAAAACTATTGACTTTTATCAAAAGTGAGTCCAAAAAGTAGGCAAAGCAAAACAAGAGTGTGTTTTATATGTATATGTAAGTAATGTGGTGATCAGCCCATGTTACTGTATTAAATAATTGACTTGCTGCTTCTCCTTTCTTCACCAAACTTAATGTTTTGCTACTCACTATACTTATTTGGAGAAAAAAAAAATCCAAAACAGTATTTTCCCTGATCAGGCCTATAATCAATTTCTTTTTTTGTTGGTTGGTTTTTGCTTTGTTTGTTTGTTTGTTTGTTTGTTTTGTAATGAAAACATTGGCACCGGCAGAGAGATTTTTTTTTGAAGTTCCCAGGATCCCAGTATGTTAGTCTCCTCATAGTTAAAGAGACGTGATCTGAATAAATGTTTAATAACCTGAATCAGTTTAAGGGACCATCATTTTATCATAAGTAACATGTCTTTCTGAGGTAGCGTTTCTAACAAAGCCATACTCGGCCTTTCCTTAGACTGAGTAGGAGCTTAATGAAAGGACAAAAAGGATGGCAGGTCTTACCTCGTAGCCTGTAGAACGGACAAGGGAATGGGAAGTCATGATCCCTCTGTCTTTACGCTGCTGTTTCTCTCTTCTCTTCCATGTTTTCATATTCCTTTTTTTTTTTTCAAACTTGACTTTCAGAGCAATTTTAGGTTCACAGCAAAACTGAGAGGAAGGTGCAGAGATTTCCCTGGTGCCCCCTCCCACACCCAGGCCCCCTCTATGACTGCAGTGGATGCTTTGTCACGATCAGGGAACATCCTCGTCACCCCAAATCCGTCGTGTGCCCTGGAGTTCCCTCTCGGTGCTGTGCATCCTGGGCTTGGACAAATGCATGACATGTGTGCACCACTCTGGTATCACAGGGAGTGTTTTCACGGCCCTAAAAATCCTCTGTTCTCCGCCCATTCACCCCTCCGCCCTCTGTGCTCAGCAGCCTCTGATCCTTCCCCTCGCCGCAGTTTTGCCTTTTTTAGAACATCACACTGTGGGAGTCTTTCGGCAGGAAGCCTTTCCAGACTGGTTCCTCTCACTCAGCAGCGCACATGGACGTGTCTTCCACGCCTTTTCGTGGCCCATAGCTCTTTTCTGTCCGTTGCTGTCGGGGAGCGGCCTGCCGCTGTGCGGGCAGAGCTCAGCTCGCTGTCGCCCGCTCACCTGCAGAAAACCATCTTCGTCGTTTCCAGCTTTTTTTTTTTTTTTAAAGATTTTACTTACTTATTTGACAGAGATCACAAGTAGGCAGAGAGGCAGGCAGAGAGAGGGAGGAAGCAGGCTCCCTGCTGAGCAGAGAGCCCGATGCGGGGCTCGATCCCAGGACCCTGAGATCATGACCTGAGCCGAAGGCAGCGGCTTAACCCACTGAGCCACCCAGGTGCCCCTCGTTTCCAGCTTTTAACTCTGACAGTTACGAATAAAGGTGCTAGAAAGTCATGCACGGGTTTTGAGTGGATGTAGTTGTTCAACTCCTGTGGGTGAATACCAAGGAGTGTGATCGCTGATTCGTGCGGTGAGCGTGTTTGGCTCTAGCAGACACACCAAAATGCCTCCCGGAGTGGCTGTGCCGTTGCCCAGTCCCACCACAACAGAGAGTCCCCGTCTCCACACCGCTGCGTAGTGGCTACAACCTCGCGTAAGTGGGGAAGTCATACCTGCATAAGCCCGGCGAGGCCCAAGACTTGTACTACTTAAACTGAATACTTCAGGGATGTCACGTAGGTTCTCACCTGGCGGGGCTGCCGCAAAGCCAGCTCGGGGAACATCCCCACTTTCCCCAAACAACAGGGCACTCAGCATTGGTTCTCAAAATGACAGATGAAAGCGTCTGGAGGCAGATCTGCCAAACAGGCCCAGCTCTGTGCGCACAACTGTTTGTTCCCATTCTATGTCCCGAACCATCATCCTCTTGTTTGTGACCCCAGGTATTCCCAGCAGCCCCTCTTGTCTACGTGTCTGTCCCCTCTGGTCCCTAGCTGGCATGGATATCCTGCTTCGAGGCTTCAGGAGAGCATGACCGTTGAGGGCATAGTCTGGAGCCACGCTGCCTGGGACAAATCCCAGCTCTGGCCCTACTACGCTACGATTTCAGACTTTCTTAAGCTCGTCCTGCTTCAGATTCTATTTCTGTGAACCGGGGACACAGTAGTTGACCAGGGTCAGGCGTGTACATGTGGTAAGAGCCCCGTGTGCGCCGGTAGTTGTTTTGATCATCGTGTTTACCATCGCTCTTCCCATGAACCTGGTACGGCCTGCGGCTCTCCCGCGGCCGCCTTCGTCGCGTGAGCGAGCCTTCGTCCTGAGGATTTTGCCTCTTGGGTCGATCAGTAGACGCGTCTGATTCGGAGGAACGGGCTTCCTGCCGCTGCGGGTGGTAGCTGGGTCTGCACATTTCCTCCAGGTCGAAGACGGGGCAATGTGCGTAAACTTAGAAAAATTTATTATGAAAGCATTGTGAGAAGAAAAGAAAAAAAAAGAAAAGAAAGGAACAACACCTCCCAAACCTCTGAAACTGAAGGAGGCAATAATTATATTTACTGAGAGACGTGAGAATCGTTTCAGTGAGATTGAACAAAAGCGATTACCCCCAATTTGTTTAAAGACTCCTGGAGTAAATACCAAAATCAAAATACAATATAAGCTTGACTTTAGGTAAAAATATGAGTATGTCACCATCATGGAAAGAAGCACGGTCTGCCAAAAACATCTGATATTGGCACAAAATATTTGCTTCGTAGTTTTTCTTACTCTATGTCCTCTGGCTCTCTCTAACATGACACCATATGCAGGGTGTCCTTCTCTTTGGGAATAAGAAAAAGATTTACTCCTCTTCTGAGAATTCCGGTTTCAGGGTGTGTCTCAGAGCAAGAGTAGAACCCACCTTTCCCACGTTGTCAGATAGAATCCAAGGGCGGAGGAGCCCACCAGGTAGCGTTGTGCCCTTCCAGTAGCCTGCCGCTGTTTACGGCTGTGGCGTGCTTCCCAGTAACCGAGTGTCATAATCTGGAGTAGAGGTAGAGCTCGTATTTTTCCAAGAAGAGGATTGATACAACCTGAAGATGTCAGCAACCCTCCCTCCTCCGACCCAGTCCTACTTACCAATTCGCATAACAGACAAAAACCAAGAAAGTTTTGCTAGCTCAGCGCTGGGATGACTAGTCTGTGATGCTTTGGTGGAGGCAGAAGGAGTAACCCAGAAGCTCCGTGCGGGCAGAGATCTCGCCACCCAGAGCGCATGCCCTGCCCCGCTCCATTGTGAGCAGTTCCCATCTGTTCATCCATGTAATTCTCAAAACGACCTCAAGAAGTAGCTTCTTACGTGATCCCACAACAAGGCAGAGAGGTTGTGCACTTCGACCCAGCTCAGTAGCTCTGCAGCTGTGACACTGCAATCAAAGAGTCTCCAAGAGCATGGACTCTTCTCCATGCCCTTCCCAGCCTGCTAGGACAGTAAATGTTTACTAAAGGGCCAACAGAAAGCTCTAGGATCGTCGCTGTCCCAGGGGCCGGCAGGCGGGTGGATTGTGCCGGTGTGAGCGGGTCCGGTTTGGCGGTGCCACAGCTCAGCAGAGCCAGTCTGCTCCAGCCCGGGGCCCCCACACACCTGCAGACTGCCCGCCAGTCCCCTCTGATTCTGCGCTGACGCCCTTAATAAGTTCAAACGACTTAGGATTGTCGCACACACACACATACACATGCAGACACACAGACACCTCCCTGCACAGGGATACGTCTATTTTAAAATGTGGAAATACCGAAACACACAAATCAAGCATCACCCACAATGCAGGCAATTCTAAAAAAAATGATTATAAAGAAGTGAAATTTCCGTCTTTCCGTAAGCAGACGTCTCCCTCAAAGGTCAACACTTGAATAAGAGCTTGATGCCTGTGTTTATACACACATGTGCATAAACACGTATATTTCCTAAAATGGGTCTGTGCAATCTGTAACATAGACACTTGACATCCTCCATATCTGAGCCTCATTCCCTGTGGCCATGGAGTGCTCCCCTCTGTAGATATGTCATGATGTTTTGCACTGGGCTTTGGGCCATCTACTCCCGGGACTGGTTGTCAAAGTCTATAGCAACAGGAGCCTGGGATAGCAACTGTCCCCAGGGATGCCTGAATCCCTTGCAGGCAGTAAGGGCAAGTGCGCTTCAAAGCTAGAAGGATAGCCTGGGGTGTGTCAGCAAAACACAGACACTAAATGTGGATGCGGACCTCCCTGTGAGGCCGGGAGAAAAAGCAAGGGAGGGGGCGGGCAGGGCAACCGTTCAACAGCTGGAGGTTTGAAAAAGCGACTGTAGCGATGGCTGCGGGAAACTCGTGATAACTAACAAAAACTTGGATTAAACCGCAACCTAGAAACTGGCTTTTGTTCCTTAGGCTCAGTTTGTCTTTTCTTTTAACTCATTCCACTTTTTGGCTACTTTAATGATGAGAGGAAGCCGCTTGCCATCGGTAGGGCGGGAGAAGTCCCTTCCACACCTTCCCGTTTCTTCGCTTTCGGCGTTCCTCGCGTGAGGGAGCTGTATCACTGATTGGATCGGTCTGACTTCAGGTTTTTTTGGTAATCGGTTAATGCGTGATGCTCTCTCCCTAGTGACTTCAGACGAAAGCAATAAAACCTGGGGAAGGAACACGGTCAGCCGACAAGAAGAATTTGAGGATGTGAAAAAGAACTTCAGGAAAAAAGGTTGTACCTGGGGACCCAACTCAATTCAAATGAAAGAAAGAAGTGACAGCAAAGAAAGGTAAGCATGTGACACCCAGCGGCCCATCAGCGTAGACCGTGACAGGTAGCGGTGCCTTCTAGAATTCCGCATCGGCCAGACTTCACTTCTAGACCACGACTGGGAGAGTGCAGAGATACCCGAATGTTAATTTCATTTCTAGGATGAGTTTGTCCTACTAAATTATGTTACCACGTAGTGAGGCAGTTAAAACACTTTGATCTATTTCCTGTCTCGTTTCCACGTTCTGTTTGTGCTTTGTCAGCCCTTCAGAACGGTGCAAATGTGGTCCCTCTGCGACTCAAAAGTGCCGTCGGCATGTATCTGTCAAAACCCAGTCTGTGTGCCACGTGGTTCTATCGAAATAAACGTCTTTCTCTTTTAGAATAAGACCTCTCTCAGACGGCAACAGTCCTTGGTCAGCTCTCTTAATAAAGAATCCGAAAACCACGCCATTGGCTTCATTATTTGTGGACCAGCCAGGTAAATCTGCTTCAGCAAATAGAATCTGTTCGAGTTCGACGTAGCATCTGAGTGTTGTAGACGCTGTGCTTTGAAAGTTTCATGTGGTCTTTCAAGTAGCACAGGGAAGGTTAGCAAGAAGTTCTCCTGCGTGTACCTTTACTTAGGCTCAAAACTTACTTGCTGTCCTGTCCTGACGGATAGTAATTAGGCTCCACATTACTCCTTGGGAATTTGTAACTCCTATTCTCTACCAGAAAAATTAGTCTCATAATTAATTCTGTAGAATTAATGTAGTATAGGAGATAGCAACTATGAGAATGTGGACATCCTGGAATTCTCCTGAGATCTAGGGGTGGGCTTCGGCTGCATTGCCACTGCTTAACAGGACAAAATCTTGTCAAGCAGGTTTCTGTGGAAAACCACCACTTAGAGAGGATTACCTTGGAAACTCTTTAATTTAGAGGAATTATAATTATTTTCAATACTTGGTATCCTATTCAGTATTCAGATATTAAAAGGCTGAAGAGAGATGGTGTTGAAAAACCTCAAGGAGGGGCATCTGGGTGGCTCAGTGGGTTAAGCCTCTGCCTTCAGCTCAGGTCATGATCTCAGGGTCCTGGGATCGAGCCTCACATCGGGCTCTCTGCTCAGCGGGGAGCCTGCTTCCCCCACCACCTCTCTGCCTGCCTCCCTGCCTCTCTGCCTACTTGTGATCTCTCTCTCAAATAAATAAATAAAATCTTAAAAAAAAAAAAAAAAAGAAAAAGTAAAACCTCAAGGATGGTCATCACCAGAGAAAAGAAAATTGGTCTTTAAACTTGATGATTTAAAACCACTCTTGGACACGGTGGCCAGATTAAAGATGTTTTCGCAGAACATGGTGTCCACTTCTTGAATTCGTCATCAGGGCCGTGCTTAATTCAACAAGCATCCCGTCAGTCACTACCCATGTTCACTTCTCTTTCGCATTGTCACGAGGACGTGCACAAGTATATGTGGGCACACGCAGGATGGGTGCTCAGGGCTTCCTGTTGTCGTGTTCCCGATGACATTCTGACTCTTGCCTCGGAAGGTTGAGAGGTTCCCCTCTTATTACATGTTGCAATTTATTGTCAAATATGGTTTGAAGACCAAGGAAGAACAGCTAATTGTAATAAAACTGTTCAACCTAGAGTATATTTTTCATTATTTGTAACTAAACAGGGAGATTAATCGGAGAAGTCCTCCCTCTTTTCCCCCTCAATTCTTTTATTTATTTATTTGTTTTAGAATGTTCTGACCCATTAGTAGGTCCTCCACAGGACAGTTGGAGGAAATACTAGGATATATTTGGCTCTGCTCAAGCTCCATTAAGTGAACTCCGGAAGTTCTCTTGATGAGTTAATGGGAATGACACAGTCGTGTGTCCCTCCTGTGTGGCCCCTCCCACCGCCTGTCTGTGTGGTCCTGTCCTCCTAAGCAGTTGTGTCTCAGCCCCGGATCTCCTGAGAGCTTTTCCTGACCGTTCACTGAAGCAGCATCACACCCCATCCCTGTGTCTCATGACCCAGTCTTACTTACTCATAGCTCTTACCGGAAATCCTTACTTGCCTACATTGACGCCCTTAATGTGTGTGTTCTGTTTCACTCCCAAACTGGAATGTCAAGGGTTTTATCACTTTTGTTTACCACTCGCAGTGCCTGGAACCCAGCGGACACTCACCACCTGTCCAGATGCCTACATGAATCCTCAAAGGACACATTTTGATGTTATGTAGATATTTACCTTGGTTTGAGGGCTACAGATGCTGGTCATCAGTAATCAAAAGGGAAGGTTACAATGGACCACCATAACTTCATGCCCACTTCAGGGGGAAGAGTCTGCTTTACTGACCAGTAAAGGTACCCATGAACACACATTAGGAAAGGCTCAATGTACTTTTTTTTTTTTTTTTATTTTATAGAGAGAGATCACAAGTAGAGAGAGAGAGGAGGAACAGGCTCCCTGCCTAGCAGAGAGCCTGATGTGGGACTCAATCCTAGGACCCGGAGATCATGACCTGAGCTAAAGGCAGAGGCTTAACCCACTGAGCCACGCAGGCAGCCCAGGCTCAATGTACTTTTAAGTCAATGAATTTCACTTGTCGATAGCATTCCCCCCACTCTTGTTTTTGTTTTTGTTTTTAATTTTTTTTTATTTGTTTACTTGACAGAGAGCTAGAGAGAGAGCACAAGTAAGCAGAGCGGCAGGGAGAGGGGAAGAGAGAGAAGCAGGCTCTCCGCTGAGCAGGGAGCCCAATGCGGGGCTCGATCCCAGGACCCTGGAATCATGACCCGAGCCAAAGGCAGCCGCTTAACCAACTGAGCCACCCGGGCGCCCCCCCACTCTTGTTTTTTAAATGATGAGTTGATAATTAGTTGCCCGTTACATGTGCTGGGCACATGTGTGATGCATATTCATTTCACCCAAATGCATTTCGTGCCTACGTGATGAGAGTACTATGCAGGGGAGATCCTTCCAAATTTAAATATGCAAACAGGTGGTCAGAAGCCTACCATCTGCCGGCGTGCACATCTGGACTGTGATCTCAAAGTACAAACACCGAAAGATGCAAGGGTTAGGGAGCTTCGGAGAAAACTAAGATTGCATGTGGGGGGATGGGCCGCCTTCGGCTCTGTTGGCATCAGGGGGTACTTTGACAGAGGGCTTTCTGGGGGGAAAGGAAGCTTGGGGTCAGTGTGAGAGCGTGGGAGGAGGCCAGGCAGAGGAAGGAGAGGGCACCCCAAAGGACGGGGATGCTGGGAAAAGCACCTCCAGCTCGTTGGGGGCAAAGCTGGTGTCTTGGCTTATCTGGATTCTAGATCACACTCAGGTATTATAAAACATAATACTGGGGAAGTCATGGGAGGCTCTGTTGTGATTGCTTGGAACATGGATTAAGCCATTTGTTGTTTTTGTTCACTCACTGCTGAGCACGTCTGTGATAACAATGACTGCTTGTTCTTTAGCTGATCTAATGCGTTACCCTTTGGGCCCTCTTTGGAGAATCATCTTCTAGTCCAGTGGCTCCCAAACTTGAGTAAAGGTTATTAAAACACAGACCCCTGGGCTTCAGCGGTAGAATTTCTGACTCCATAGTCTGGAGTGGGTCAGGAATTCACATTTCTGCAAGTTTCCAGGGGATGCCGGAGCTCTGGGCCAGGAGGCACACTCTGAGAACCACTGATCTGGGGCCTGTTGGTTCTTGTACACGCAGGTGTGCTACAGATAACTGGGCCCGACATGCTGAGAGGAGGCAAAGGGCATGTGTTGTCTGACACGTTACAGGGCCTGCATGTGGGTGTATGCGTTCTGTAACTTGCTGACTTTTTCCGATAATAACTGTATTGCCCGTGCCGGTGAGGAATGTCCTTCATTTCCTGAAGGACAGGGAACAGCGGATGATGTGCTCGCTGCATCCTCTGCAGGGGACCGTGAGTTCTGTGCCCCAGGCTCCCTTTCCTTCAGGTCCTCCTGGACGAACGGTTTGCTGAACTGAAAAGGACTCTGTGTGCTTTGACTTAGAATGTTTATTAGATTTTAGCCTTATTTTATGGTACAGTTTGAATTATTTTTCCTTCAAATCGTACTTAACAGGTACAATTTATATCTTTGTTTAGGTGCTTCTGAAGAGCCAAAACTTTCCTCCGATGGACCAGAACACAGAAAACCAAAGCAAATAAAATCTCCTAGCCAAGCCTACGTTGATCTACCTCTTTGGAAAGATGGCCAGAGAGAGGATCCAGTAGAGCCTGGAAGCTGGGAGGAGGGCCCCTCTTCGAGCCCTGCTGCAAGCCCTCCTCAGGTGACCCCTACAAGTAGTCGGAGCAGGTCCCCCCAGAGGAAGAAGACGGAGTCTGCCCTGTACGGCTGCACCGTGCTGCTGGCATCAGTCGCTCTGGGGCTGGATATCAGAGAGCTTCATCAAGCACAGGCTGCCGGAGGACTATTGCCCAAAGAAGAAAGGAAGAAACGTGAGGGGATCTTCCAGTGGGCTCCCAAGTCCCGAGGCGGGGCCAGTCCTTCCACAAGGCCACCGTCTACGGGCGAGAGGGCCAGCAGCCCACCCTTACTCCCTCCACCAGGCGCCATGAGCCTTCTGTCCGGGCCCTCTCTTTCCACCAAGTGCTTGCTGCAGACGGACAGCACAGAGCTGTCCGAGGGCAGCCCATACGTCGCTTCGGACCCCGAGATGCCCACTCCAGGCTTTTGCGCGGCCATTGGAGGACGTAGTCGCGAGCCGACCTCCACACCAAGACTCGAGACTGATTGCAGTCAATGGAAAAACCCATCTCCTCCTTTCCTAGAGCGGACGTGCGGGAATGTGCCTTATTCTGCTTCTTCAAAAGAACGAGCATCACATCACAGACGAACCCTGTCCGAGGGAAATGCTTGTCAGACCCCAAGTAGGTTGCGTTAGTTGGGTCCAAGTACAAATCCCCACCACAGAGATTAGAACGTAAAGTTGCATGGATACCTGCTTGTATCTTTCCAAGTGGTCACATTGAACAAGCTTGTTTGCACAGTTAATACGGCTCCTTGAATTTTACCCTGCTTTTTTATTTGACTCTATTCTTTGAATTCTGAGAAAGGCATAATTGATCTCAACAGTGTCAGTATATGCTAGCAAACTGAAACAGAACGGGCAGGTGGGGAATAACTGCCCCAAGCCCCTCACAGGAGAGAGGACAGGTGATTTGCCCACATCTGAACCACCGATTGCTGGGAGAGCTGGAGTTCAAACTGGCCGCCCAGCCTCCCCTGTGATAAGCTGTCCTCTGCTACCCCCAGCATCACTGCTCAGCTTACCGTCAGGCTAAATTTTAGCAGGGGGAAGAGCCAAACATGCTGTGCGGGGCCTGACTATTATTTCTTTTGTATATTAATTACAAATATATGTTATGAGTATTAAGCAAGGTCGTGTGTACGAAAATGCCTTTTAGATTGTACAGAGTTGTGCAGTATGGCTAGTTGTCCAGTGTGATTGAAACTGAAACTGTTCCCATTCTATTGCTTTTTCTCTGCTCTTCCAAAACCCTGCCCAGAAGTGATTTTTTTTTTCAGTTTATTGTCCATTGTCTTTAGATAAATGTATTCCTCTCTTGTAAGGCAGTAGCTATTAGTAATTGAGGACTGCACAGGAGAAATCCTAGGTCAGCAATCCCATGAGAAACCATTTTTTTTTCTCTTACTTAGAAGCCAGTGATTATGTGCTAGAGTGGTGAGGAGTCTGGACTTTGGGACAAGAAAGAGAAGGGGCGACATATAAAATCTAAAATCTAACTGCTTTCTTGCTGCCATCCATTTTTTTCAGGTCATAATTTGAAAGTGAAGTTTCATCATGTTGCCCATCACTTAAAAAAAAAAAACAAAAAAAAACTTTTAAAACCTTTAGTGTAATCCATCGTGAAACTTCCCCTGTTTCTAAGACAGCCCTAGTGATCGTCGGCCCAAAGTGCTGTGGAGGTGATGAGCCGCGTTCATGGTTGCAATTTTCCCCGGGCAGAAACACCCCTTCCAACCTTGCAGTTACTTCTTCATACGCACACACACACACACAGTGTCCCAATAGTTTGGAAAGGTGTGTGCTGAGGGTGTTTTGTTGACGCTCCCTTGAAGGTGACCCCGTAATTGACCGGTCCTCCTAGTTACGGGTCTGCATGTTGGCTGGCTTGGAAGTCGCGATCTAACCACGCACCATCTTTGCTTTCTCCAGCAGCTGCTGCAGGCGCAGCTCTCAGCTCAGACCCCGGAGCCTCGGACCTGCCCCTGGAGTGGACTCTGGGAACGCCCCGGTGCTCCCCGCCCAGGGAGGCCCCACCGGAAAAACAAAGAGCCGGCGCCCTGGTGCCCCCACCTCGCCTGCCAACCTTCAGGAGCCGCTCAGAGTCACAGCCCGCCAGGCAGGCACAGGTGCTCTCTGTCGGGCCGGGTCCAACTCCCCCCACTGCTTGTCCCCCCAGGGGGGCCGAGGACAGGACTACACCCCACGTGCCTTCCCTCCTGGATGCCAACGCCCAAGGCCAGAGCAGGGACGGCCCAGTGCCTTTGGGCAGGATGACGAGCAGAGCCAGCGGACCGTCCGTGCGGCAGCTGGAGAAGGAGTTTCTGTCTTAAGTGCCTTACGTTGTTCAAGCATTTCTGTGTTTCGTTTTGTTTTTAAGGTGAACAAATGAAAACAATTTGAACTGTTAAATGCTGCTGTGTTTTCGAAAGCTGTGGCCATGTTACTGAAGTAGTAATGGATGTCAACCTTCCCGAAAAAAATGTATGTGATTGCTGTTAGCGGTCTATTGTTTTTTGGCTACTGGAATCTTATGTAGTAACTTGGAATGTGCAAAACAAGTGTAAATGAGTGTGAAACAAGAAACGTGCAGCAGCGTAAAGCTATGCTGGATACAGTTACCTGAAGCGTAGTTGTAAAGTTCCATTGGTTCTCACCAGCATCCCCCAAAACCCAAATCAGAATGAGGTGCGCCATGTTTGTCCCTCCTTTTGTTTTCTCCCCCTTTGCCTTTCCTTCCTTCTCTTTTTTCCTTCCTTCCCTCCTTCCTTCCTTCCTTCTTTTTTCTTTTTTTGTTTGTTTCTTTTGTTATTTGCGCAAAAAATCCAAGAATAATGTGATATTAGTCAGTAAAGGTATGTATTTTGAAAAAATTGAAGACTAGAATAGATGGTGAGCCCCAGTGACACCCCCTGAACTGAGCAGTGGGCTTATGATGCATGGATATGTTGAGGCGTCACATGGATTATGCCTATTTCTCTCTGAGGAAATTTTACTGAATGTACTTGTAAATGTTTTACTGAATGTAACTTCTAAACATGTTATCTATCAGAACCCCAAAATGGATTTTTTTAAATTTTATTTATTTATTTGTCAGAGAGAAAGAGCACAAGCAGGGGGAGCAGCAGGCAGAGGGAGAGGGAAAGGGAGAAGCGGGATGACCAAGAAGCCCGATGTGGGGCTCTATCCCCGGACCCTGGGATCATGACCTGAGCCAAAGGCAGACGCTTAACCAACTGAGCCATCCAGGTGTCCCCCCAAACGGATCTTTAAAAGGTCAGTCAGTCAGTCATGGGCATTTGGCTAAGACCACATTATGTCCCCATGAGCAAGGCTAATCGGTAGGTTCTTCCTATAGAAATGGTTCTTGTTTCGTCAGGAGCCACTTACTCAGTCTCCAGACTAAAAATCTTTTTCATTTTGTAGTAGGTTTTTAAAAAATTAAGTGACATAGGTATTCATTGTAAACATTCATGTCATTCCATTTTATTTTTCTCTATATAAATGTGTGATTATTCTGATAAACCCAAATACCATTAGAGAGAAACACTGCCAAATCAAGAAACAGTGACACTGTTAGAATTCAAGTGTTTTGTAGTTATCTTCATGCTTCAGTAAATTGTGGAAAAATGTTAGACATCTGCTAAGATAAGCTGACATGGTGGAAATGACAAATATGGATTATTTTCAGATACAGGATTTTAAATGGATTTGAGGTAGCAGATCAGGATTTGAAATGATTTGAAATGATTTTATGAGTTATTTTATAAAATCATACCTCTATGATACAAATAGACTACTGAGTTATTAAGCTACAGAAATGCTGTCCAGGAGCTTGTAAATTTGTCTGAACTCTTTTGTCAAGTTCCATTATGCTTCCCTTCTGCCACTAAAATGTGGTTATTTTGGATGACAATAAACACTTAACATTTGATGTACAAGGAAAAACTAAATTGCAAACATCACTTGACATTTCATTTAAAACTCTACCTTGGTTAAGGTTTCCCGAATAACTGAAATGTCGGCAATTTAAATCAGCTGTGATAAAACGCCCACCTGTACCAGAAACAAGAAAACGATACTCTTTGGCCACTCGACACATCCAGTGACTTGGCAGGTACGCCCCCGCAGATGGTGAACAGAGCACTGAAAGGATTCTATCAACATGAGTGCATTCTACCCCAAGGAAAACAATCCTGGGTTTAAAATTCTTGCAGCAAAATCTCAGGTACTTCCCTTTGTTATGTCGTAGTACAGTCTGTTCTAGGATTCGGCTTCACTTTCGGGAGATTGTTCAAGTACGAAATCAAAATCTGATTTCCTCAAAAGTGTATCACATTTGAAACTATGGCTGGCTGCTTCATTCTATGTTCAGTCATTTGGGGGCATGTATTTCCTGCTAAAAGTAAAGGAAATACATGCCTAAAATAGCACATAAAAGAAGTATAGAAACTCAGTTTCGCTTCTGCCAAAACATTGTGTGTGTGTGTGTGTGTGTGTGTGTGTGTGTGTGTGTGTGAGTAGGGGTGGAGGGTAGCGGTGGGTGTTCATCTGTCTTCTCCCTCTGCCCTGTTCCTGCTCCCATGTAGCTCTGTTTCAGTCCACTGAACATTATGATGAATTTAGAAATGAAACTACATTAAAAAGATAGTTGCAATACCAGGATTCAAGCTCGCATTCCAGCAAATTGTTGTTTTTTGCTGAGATCTGTTGTATATTTGTGATTTTCTATGTGTGCTAGGATGTTTAGCAGAATCCGGCTATTTATTTTCATGTAGACGTGCTAGCTCGTCGAAAGAGAAATTAAGCTGATTACCATTAGTCAACATTGAAGGTGCTCCCACTGCAGAAACTTAAGGCCTGAGCCTGTTATGCTGTATTATGAAGCCTTGTGACTGAAAAAGATGTTTACATATGTTGTCTATTTTTTTAATAAACTTCTTTTTATAGCTAGTCTACTTGTTCCATGGCTTTCATCTGATGATGGTGACTATAGTTTGTAGTGGTTTATTTTGTATTTAATAAGGAAAAATACATTAGTGAAGATCACTGATGCTTCATTAGACAGGTATTAGCCTGCTAACTTCATTAAACTGAAGATCACTAAGTGAGTCATGGGATTAAATACTTTTTTAAATTTTATTTATTTTTAAAAGATTTATCCATCTCTTCTAGAGAGAGAGCATGCGCATGGAGAGGTGTGGAGGGAGAAGGAGAGAGAAACTCAAGCAGACGCCTTGCTGAGTTCAGAGCCCAACAAAGGACTCGATCTCATGACCCTGAGATCAGGACCTGAGCCAAAACCAAAGGATTGGACGCTTAACCATACCACTCAGGGGCCCCTGGGATTAAATACTTTTTTAAAAGTATAATGAGATTCTATATTTGAAAATGTGTGGTTGACATATGCATTGAAAAGTTGCATTTCACTCTGAGAATTTTGCAACTCCATCTTTTCAGAAGGCACGCTTTTGCAACGTGGAACTAGTAGGAACTTAATCTCCATTGATCTGCAGGGATGTGATTAATGAGACATGCTAATTATTAACACGCTTGAATCAGAAGAATTTTAAGAATCGTGAAGCATCCAGCGATTCTTACTTAGCAATGGAAGCTTGGGAAGATCAAGAAAGAGATCGTAGTAACCCACGCAGACCCAAGCATCGCCTTGCCACATGAGACGGATGGACAGGTGACAGCCATTGCATATCCAAGTGTTAGCGACCCTCCTAGGTGCCTATGTAAGACGCCTATAATTATCTTCAATACAATTTGTGAGGCAAGTGTAATAGCCCTATTTCATTAGGAATGAAATAGACACAGAGAAGTTGGGTAGATTTCCAAAGACCCAACCTATATCTACTCCCTACCATCTACCTGTTCACACCTGTCGTAACCCACTGTACACATAATGGAGAAGCTGGAGACTTCTGAAGTGTGAGCTTTGTAAATGGAATCCAAAGCTAACGTAATTTTTCACCAAAAAGTTTGGAAGTCTAGAAATGTGTGAGTACTTAAAAGCAAAGCTAACCGTGGTTAATACAGTGGGATACTTTTTAAGTAAATGTGCAATGAAACCGAAAACATGCATACCTACTAGGTCAACTCAGAAAAATGGCATATTCTGATCGGTAGGTCTATACACATGAAGTTATTTAAGAACTGCAAGGTAAATGTATAATAATCAGTCAGAAGCAGTCTATACTTTTCTGAAAAGGCCAACATGGTAAATAAAACACAGTGAAAGAAGCTTTTATAAATGGTAATAGTTACCATACAGTGCAGTAATTATTACCTATGTTTTTATATCCAAGCAAAACAAATAAGCTGAGTTAGGGAACTTCTGTATGCTGACAGACTCACGGAGTGCCTCCTGACTGCTGGGAAAGACTAAAGGACTTAGTGGTGAGCCAGGGAGAGACCACCTGTGTACCCAGCCTGCATGATTCATAAGATCTAGTAAGAAAGACTTTGAGTGCGCAACTAGGCAGGGCTGGCTTCGAGAGCATGGACTTGTGCCATTCAGAGCTCAGGGCCCGGAAGTTCCTGAGCTTGATACTAATGCTTTGCTACCATCATCTTGAATTCCTTAATACATTTATTTATTTATTTTAAATATTTTATGTATTTATTTGACAGGGAGCACAAGCAGGGGGAGCAGCAGGTAGAAGGAGAGGGAGAAGCAGCCTCCCTACTGAGCAAGGAGCCCAATGCGGGGCTCGATCCCAGGACCCTGGGATCATGACTTGAGCCGAAGGCAGACGCCCAACCAACTGAGCCACCCAGGTGCCCTCTTAATAAATTTAGAACAGGGTCTGCTAATTTTTTAACTAGGCCTCACAGACTATGTGGCCAACTCTGACTACACGTGGAATGAATTATAAAAGGTGAAGTAGTTGCTGCTTTGTTAGCTCTGGAAGAGGGATGTAATCTGAGGGACTCAGGGAAGGTGGGAGGAAGCCAGACCCCAGCAGAGGGAGAGGCGCTCCCCAGCCACTAGCTTGTGGGAGGCCTTTGACTCCTTTTCTCCTTAAGGGTTGCTTTCCAGTTTCTTTGTTTTTGGCTTTCAGTATTTTTACCTACCATGATAGGTCTTAGTGTAGATCTTTCTCTAGACTGTATCCTGCTTGGAGTTTTTTTTTTTTTTTTTTTTTAATTACTTGGAGGTGTAGGTTAATGTTTTGAGCAAATTTGGGGCTTTCAGCTGTAATTTCAAATATTTTTTATGCTCCTCTTGCTCTCTCCTTCTAGTACTCCCATTACACATATGTTGCTGTAGTTAATGGTGTCCCACATTTCTCTGGGGTTTTTCATTCATTTTTATTCTTTTTTT